ACGAAAATATGTAAGAAGAACATTCAAACCTCATCAGATGTCAAGAAGATTTAAAAGCTAAAAACCTGAAATACAATCATTTTAAAAGAACCTAAAAGAACCAAATGAGTTTTAATCGTACTAACAAACTAAAATCTGAGATTTTAACAAAAGACTAACAAGCTGTGTGGACCTGGATAACAAAAGAAATTGAATTTTGGAGGAATGAAATGAAAAGGATTATTCAAAGTAAGAACGGCTCTTACTATAACAAGAATAATCACCAATGGAATGAACCAGAAGTTCAACTGTTACCCAGGAAAGAGCGGCTCTTTCCTTAAATGCTAGGAGGAAGCTGAAAAGAGAAGAAAAACTGGAAGGATTAATGAAAGAAATTTTAATTATACTAATTAAAAACAACTTACCTCTGGTAAAGCAACCCGAACACGTTTAAAGTACCTTATGATAATGGATATCAACCTACATGAAGAAAGCCAACACAAGAAATGACCAAAGTCGACAAAAAGCGAAAGAGTCGCGCATATTTCCCCCATTTAAAAATCATGCGCTCACCCCCTCTGTGAGAACCAATTAGAAAAAGCGTCAAAATTAAAAAGAAAAGAAGAAGGAAGTTCTCCATTTACCCTTCTGCTCATCAACAAAATTGTCAAAATTTCAAATTGTGATTTAAATTTTAATTAGTGTTTTAATTGAAGTTAAAATTCTTCAATTTCTGGTAGTAATCTGTTACAGCATCAGGAAAGAGCGGCTCTTTCCCCAACTGTAACCAGATTTAAACACCAATTGGTGTTAAAGTGTGATTTAAAAGTCAAACTCAAGAAGAAGCGCGTTGTTCTGGTCAACCATCACAAGTCCTTTTAAAAGCAAACTTTAAAGTCAAGATTGGTGGTAAAATGGTGACAATCAAAGAGATGTCAAAATGAAAGAGCGGCTCTTTCATGCTAGACTCTCTAGATTATAACCTTATCGATCTCGAGTCCTCAAAAGAAAAAGAAAAGCATAATCAAGAAGAATTAATTAAACCAAAGATATTTTCTGGTCAACACAAAATTGTGATAAAGAGTGAAAAAGCTAAAAGTCAACAAAATTTCAAGTAGATTCTTCAAGCCAAAGAAAATTTCTAATCAACAGCATTAAAAAGCCAAAGTGATTTTAAAAGCTAAATTCGAGGATAAAAGTAAAAGGCAATTGTTGGTCAAAGTCAGAGCTTATTGGAATAAGTCAAAGTAAACTTTAATTGTTAAAATCTTAACTCTATTGTTAAAAAGTGAAAACCTCAATTGTTGCTATTAGTAAAAATTGTCAAAGTGTAAAGGAAATTGAAAGAAAGATCGTCTCTTTCTCGGTAATTCCGATTAAAACATGGAAACATTCAACAACTGGTGGGATGTTGAACAATTCACAGTATGTTTGATGGTAAAAGATCGAATCAAGAATAGATTCGGAGAAATTAGTATTGATGCTGATTTTCAAGATTTTGTTCCTGGTTTCGTTTTACACGAAAAGCCAAAAATGCAAGAGCGGTTCTTGCAATACTTAGGCTGCGGGTTCTGTCACCACATTCCATGGTACCCAAGGACCAAAGACATCCTAAAATGTGACGACTGTCCAACTGTATATTGCTGGCTCTGCGCTCGATTATTGGCAACAATGTATCAAAAGCGTAATGGAAATCCTGCACCAAACTTGGACGAATTCGAGAAAAGTTACATCGATTGTGCGACTTGTTTAAAAAGAACTAAGATTCATCCAATAAATTCAGATGAAAGGGAGACATATCATAATATCCTCGTTAAATGTAAAACCTCAAAATGTGATTATATTGGAAATTTAATCAATGTACAACGCCATATGGAAGGCTGTAAATCAAAGACTTACAAAATTAGTTCAGTTTTAAACTATCTTCATGAGTCACAGAGAAGAAGGAGAAATGAGCCGAGAGAAGATGAAGACGAAGAACCTCAAGAATTCCTAAATTCAGAAGATTTTGTAAAAGCTTTCGACCAGAGACTAATGATACAATACCCTGGAACTTATGAGC